ATGGGATTACTGTGGATGGCCTGTATTGTGGGGGCAAGAACAGGGCATCTCGGGAGAAGCAGCGGGGTCCCCTAGGTAGAGAGGAGGCTGGGAGCGAGCAGCCTGAGGCATTCAGGTGTCATTGTGAGTTGGAGCAGAGGCCGAGCGGGAGGGCGTGGGCATACCATCAGGGTCACTGCAGGGCTGCAGGCCTGAGCATCTCCCCCTCCTTCTCACCAGATCCTTGAGGTCCCCGATGGGCACCGTGCCCCGGCTCCTCCCCAGAATGGCAGCTGTGATCATCCCCTCCTCCTGCTGGAGCCAGGCAACCCTGCTGGCTCTCCCTCCATGCTGCTGGCATCCCCCCAGCCCTCTGGTAGGGCCAGCCATGAGGACCACCGGGGTGCCATTGAGGAGCTGGCATCCGTCCCCAATGACAAAGGTAGGGCACAGTGCTGAGGCAGCGGGGCCGGCCTGAGCTGCGGAGGTTCCACTGACACCCACAGGCTCAGGCCAGTGACTTAAACCCCACCCGAATGCCTTTGCGCGTTATCTTCTTTCCACACCCTATGACAATGACGATTACAGTGGTCCTTTTAGATCACATTCTGATGTGTAGCTTCTGAAGGCTCTGCACCTGTCCTTCCACTTCATGTTCAGTGGAACCCAGAAGAGCAATCCTGCCCAGCCTGGCACGTAGGGCTGAAGTTCAGCCTGTAGTAGCTGAAGCTGGGGTGTCCCCTGGAGCCCCAGGAGGTGGGCTGGTGGGGGGCATGGGCATAGGACATGGGGGTAGATGGAGCACAGGCTCCAAAGGGATGTGTGGCACACAGATACAGTCAGTATTTGCAACCTACGCAGAGTACATTGGCTGATGAAAAAGCCGGAGTTTTACCCTCTGAGCAGGGTTGTGTAAAGGTTGCTCTTCAGAGCTAGGACAGCAGCGCTGTCTGGATGGAGGGACAGGTTTTAGGACTGCAGCTAGGAAAAGCGGCAGTGTGCAGGCTGGCAGGGTGAAGGCAGCAAGGGACAGCAGACAGGGTTCCTTTAGAGCTGCAGTTCCCACCTGTCTCCTGGGAATGCAGGATGGGCATGAGTTTCTTTTTCCCTCAGTTCAGCTGTGTATCAGTACTGTTATACGCTATGAACATTTGTAAGCTGCCTCAAAGGTTTTAGGGAAGCAGAGTGTGAACAGACCAGCTTTGTTATTAGCATAGCCCCTGCCACCTCCTTGGTACAGCAGCTCCCAGCCTTGCTCTCTGGCACCCAAGGGTGCAGAGTCCGTCCCGCGCCCCCGTCGCACTCAGCCTTGCTCTGTTGGCAGCCTTTTCCCCGGGCCACCCGGCCTCCCTGGAAGACGGCAGCCCATCTCCGGTCCTCGCCTTTGCCGCCTCCCCTCAGCCCAACCACAGCTACGTCTTCAAGCGGGAGCCCCCAGAGGGCTGTGAGCGAGTGCGTGTGTTTGAAGAGGCAACGTGAGTACCTCCGATGGGTGGCATGGGAGAGGGTGAGACGCTGGTGGGCTCCCCCACGTGACCCCACTCCCAGGCCCTTCATCAGCCTTGGACGCCCCCTAGGGTGGGTGTCAGATGATCAGTGTTGCAGTTTTTCCATGATCAAACCTGTTGACAGTACCTACTTGGAGCACTGAAATCTCTGCGTGTCACCGTCACCATCACCATAGAAACCCGCTCCCTCCTACGTGCCAGCCGCAGGGGCAGCAAGAGCAGGAAGGGAAAGATACCCGAAACGCAAGCCCTTTGTTTCTTTTATTTTTTTCCACTCCTGAGTAAGCCGTGAGAATTTGCTGCTCCGGCATCAGAGAGGGAGCCAGCCAGCCAGCCAGCCAGCACACACGGCTAGTCCTTCACCGTGCGGTGTGTTAGTTGAAGTGTCATCAGCTCGCAGACAGAAACTCCCAGTCCTTGCACGACAGGACTATAGAATGTTCTAGAACCCAGTTGAGTATTTCAGAAGCTGTTCTGCTGGTTCTTATGGTTCCCTTGCATTGGCAGAGGATTGAGAGCCAGGCGCTGCACAGGCCCACACACCACCCCCAGAACGTCACCTTAAAGGAGTCTTCCCAGCTTCCAGCCTCTGCTGCCTCCCTGCAAGAGAGGTGGCGGTGTTTGGTTGTTTTCTGAGCTACTCTGCTTTGCTCCTCTGCAGCGCGTCTTCATTCTCCCAGCTTTCCCACTGGACAGCGCTCACGACAGACAGTGACTCCTGCCACGCTCTCCTCCTCCCAGCGCTGTGTGCTGTGGGTCACCTGGATCTCCCGGGGAAGGGCTTGTGCGGCTCGGGGCCGTGCTGGCTGTGCTCGCGCTCCGAGTGGCGCTTGGCTTCCTGTCCTGTCCCCGTCCCCCACAGAGCAGCTCTCTGCCAGGCGACTTCTTGCTGCTATGGAGACCCCGACCCCGCGCAGCGCTGGCATGTGGCCTGGTGCTGCCTGCCACGTCTTCTCACTCTGCCAGATTTCTGCCCTTCTCACAACTCGCTTTTCTTGGGGGGGGGCTTGGATTATTAGGACTCTAGGATTAAATGAGTGCACTAATCTGTTCAGAATGTGTGATCCTTCATATGTGCTGTGTCAATAAAAAAAGAAAGGGCCAGGTGAGGGGGTGCAGGCCCATTGCCTAGCACTTGAGAGGCCAAGACGGGAGTGGTGCCATGAGTTCAAGGCCAACCCTGAACGACATAAGACCCTGTCTCCAAAAAAAAAAAAAAGTAGGAACCATTAGTGACATCAGTGACAGTGCCACCTCCCTACCATCTTCCCTCTAGACGCTATCCGGGCAGCAGCCGCTCAAGCCTTCCAGCCCTGACCGGCCATCTTTATCACCACAAGGATTTTACTCAGGGCCCTGGGGACCAGCCTCCTCCGTGTACTCCCCAAGATGGTCAGAAGGGCAGGGCTGAGTTTTCCCCCATTCAAGGCCAGGCAGCCATGGCGAAGACCACATGGCAAGTTAGAGCTGGATTTTCCAAGAGGCTTGAGTGCCTTTCTTTCTTTCTTTTTTTTTTTTTTTTTTTTTTTTTGTGTGTGTGTGTGTGTGTGTGGTGTGGCCAGCTCAGCCCACCAGGGGGCGGGCTGGCTGGCATGTGGTGCTGTGGGATTGAACCGCGGCCCCTGTGCTTTTAGCTAAGCTTGTTCTAAGTAGGTGCTTTGACCACCGAGCCATCTCACCAGTCTGAGTGCCTTTCTTATGGTCCTTGCTAAGGTCCTTGCAAATGTGTTCATGAATTAGATTCCTGAGGCCTGCAGACTTACCAGGAGACAGTTTTGCCCCTAAGAGGACAAGTGGCAATGTGAAGAGACAGCAAGGATGCGGTGCGGCTGGCACCCAGCGGGCAGGGCCAGAGATGGCACTAAACATCAGCAGCGTGCAGAACGATGCATCCTTGCTGTCTGTCACCCGTGTCAGAGAACACGCTGTCCTTGGGATTAAGATGCCTCTTCCACCTTGGGCCAGAGTCCTAGAAAGTCACCATTCCTGACTGCCCTGAAACACCATCATTCCTGACGAAGTCTTTGTGTTGAAAAGGTCCCTGGTCTCCCAGAATCACACTGTTGGAAGTCATCCCTTCTGTTGTGAGCTGAAGGGTATTTCCTGTTGCCTGGCCATATTTTAAAACAATAGAAGCCTAGTGTGGTGGTGCAGGCCTGTAATTCCATCACTCAGGGAAGCTGAGGCAGGAGGATTGAAAGTTCAAGCCCAGCTTGGCCACTTAGTGACTTAGCAAGATCCTCTCTCAGAATAGAAAGGGGCTGGGGTGTACCTCAGTGTGAGGGGCTGAATTTGATCTCTGAGTACCAAAAACAAAACAAATACAGTGGAGACCCAAGGGGTCTAAAGACTAACTTTTCATCTTTCGGCCAGGTTGCCACCCTGTTTGGCCAACAGATCCAGCTCCCCCAGTACCCTGTCATGGCGATGTCATTTACCCTCACTCACTGGCTGTTTCTCTGTACGTGTGGGTCTGTCTCTCTCTCCATCCTCCAGGTCCCCAGGTCCTGACCTGGCCTTCCTGACTTCCTGTCCTGACAAGAACAAAGTCCATTTCAACCCGACCGGCTCAGCCTTCTGCCCTGTCAGCTTGATGAAGCCCCTCTTCCCCAGCGTGGGCTTCATCTTCCGGAACTGCCCCTCCAGCCCGGGCTCTCCCCTTCCCCCTGCCAGCCCCAGAGCACCAGCACGGAAGGATCCAGAGGCCTCCAAGGCCTCCCCACTGCCCTTCGAGCCGTGGCAGCGTACCCCCCCAGCAGAAGAGTCCGTGCTTTTCCAGAGTTCCCTGGTGGTCTGAGAGGATACCCGCAGGCCCCCTCCTACACCTTACCATGGAGACCAGTGCCTTGGTGGCAGGCCACTCTAGCTTCCGGAGCTGAGGGATGGAGGGCCCCCTCCTTCTTCGCCTTCAAGCACTTTCGTTTATTGTGTCAAAACCCTGGGTCCTCTTTCTGGTGACAGCAACCCCTGTGAAATGTAGGGGACCTGCCTTCTTCACTTGCAGCCAGTGGTTCACAACTCACACCTGTGTCCCCACCACTTCCCTTCATTGGTGGACACTCATCCAGAAGACCTTGCGTCCCCTGTCCCCACCCCAGCTCTTGTCATTGTCACGGAGGAAGCTGGTGATAGATTTCCTTCCCTCTCCACCTCCAGAGACAACAGAAGAGCAGACCAGAAGCCAGAGACCCCACCCCACGCCTCCCTCTTTGGAGGAGCTGACCAAAGCGGCCCTAGCCGGCCAGGACACTTGACCCACTCCGTCGCTGTACAAAGGGGCAACCAAGCATTTTCCCAAGTGGCATTTTCATCTCACGTTCACCCTGACTAAAGATTGTCTTAAGCAGCAGCCCGACCCCAGGTGGGTGGCGAGGAGAGGAGGCGCTGGCATTCCTCCTGGCATTCCTCCCGGTGGCAAGAGGTGGCTCTGCACCCTTCGCCTGCCCGAGGGCTGGGTTGGATTCGAAAAATGCCTATTTTTCTTGTATCAATGTAGAAACTCTATTTTCTCCCAAAGACACTATTTTTGCAACTGTTTGAAGTTTGTATATTTTCCGTACTGCAGAGCTTACAGAAAATTGAAGAATGTTAATGTTTGAGTTTTCTTATTTTGTGTTTAGAGGTTGTTTTGTTATTTGCAGATCTTGGTGTTAACAGACCAAATAAATAAATAATTATTCCCAGCAGCTTGAGGTTCTGTTAAGTACCTAGCATGGGAGGAGCGGGGTGCACAGACAGGGTGGGACATTGGTCACTTCCGCCTGCCTTCCAGGGAGGGAGCCCTTACGTGGCACATAATTACTTGGGCTGGCAGCTGGATGGATGGACACATTCACGCGGCCCATACACGCATCCGGAAAGGTCTGCCCAGGTTGGGAAATGTGTGTCCTGGGGGAGTCACTGAGGAAGTCCCTCATCTGTGAGTCTGGTAAAGCCCCCTTGGGAGGGGAAACGAGGGTGATCAAAGGGACAGACCTTGCTGTGCATGCTGCTTGCGCTGACGAAAGGGACAGCACCGGGGAGTGGCACCCAGTTGGATCCTCTTGGCACCGTATTAGGGAAGGTTTGGACCCTTTAGGGTATTCAGTGAGTACCCACAACAGTGCGTGGCCTCAGTATGTGTCCTTTTGCAGCCTCTCAGTCCAGTACTACATCATGTAAAAGCTGTTGGGGGAAATGGGATGACCACCCCACTCTTTTTTCTTTTCTTTTTTTTTGTCTTTTTGAGACGGGGTCTCACTATGCAGTTTAGGCTGGACTCAAGTTTGCAAGGATCTTTCTGCCTCAGCCTTCTGACTGCTGGAATTACAGCACGCCCAGCTCTCCCCCACATTCTGCAGTGCTTTGGAATTTACAAAACATTCTCATAAAAGATTATCCTCACTGCGTAAGTGGAAACTTGACCACCTCAAGGGCAGCCATAACAAGTACAGATGTGTTTATCTCACAAGACTTAAGGACAGATCCTTTGGCCAGGCTGTCCCAACTATCATTCACTGGCTCGATAAAGCACTAGATGTCACCTTAGGCACTTTCCATGAAATAATATTAAAATATGACAACCAATCTAATGAAAGGAATATTGTAAATCTCACTGTCGTAATAAGGGAAGGTCAAAAAGATCAAATAACTTTCTCCAAAAGACAGACTAAGTGGAAGAGTTAGGATTAGAAACCATCATTTGAATCTATCGCCAGTACCTGTAATTGTAGCCCTCTCCTTCCTGTCCTATTCCTGTTAATTTCACAGGAGGGAACTTGATTCACAGGTCAAATAAACTGATTGAGTCTCAGATGGTAAAGAAGTAGACCTGGGACTGGGATCCAGGTCTCTCTCACCAGCCACTGTTTGGTTTCCTGAAGGTGCCAACTGTGTGGGGCATCCCCCGCCCCATCAGAAAAGAAGCAGAGCTGGGGACAGACCTGTCTTCTCTTACCCTTCCTCTCCCCCTGCGTGATGTCTGGCTTGCCTCCGAAGCCTTCGCGAGTCAGGCTCCACGCCGCGGGTGTGGTGCTGCCCAGTGTTTCCTTCCTTTGCCTGAGGCCGTGCCAGAGGAGCAGGGTGCTGGAGGAGCAGCCGCGAGTCCAACATGCGCGCCTGAGAACTGGGCCCATGATGAAGGCGGGGAGACTTGAGGGTTTTCAGATGGTCCTGAGAAGACCTGGTGTCAGTCTTGCCCTGCCAATTCGTCCCCCAGGTGCGCACCCAACACTTGGATCAGCAGGAGGCGCTCAAAAATAGAAAGGTCCCTGAGTCTTACAGGGTACACACAAAGGGTATGCTTCGTGGTTGGTGAACGGGAAGTCCCTGCAAGAAATTCATTTAAATAAACTTGCATTTCCCCCTCCAGGAGGTGAGGAAATCAAGTCAGATTGAGAATGAGTAATGGCCCCTAATACCTTAAACTTGCACAGCACACTTTACAGTTTATAAAACGCTCTCACAAACCTCAGCCCATTTAATCAAACCAGTGAAGGGGCGACGGACGGGCGCGGGAACTGTTATTATTAACCCTTATCTTACAGGCTGGGAAAACTAGGGCTCAGAATTTAGGCGACAGCTGTATGTCTGCAATGTCTAAGGGACAAGCGTCCTGACCTAGCAGAAGCTAATACACCTCTTTTGGGTGATGTGACGGGGAGGAGTTATGACGCTTGGAAGCAGCTAGAGGGCGCCAGGGTGCCATTAAGAATTTCTTGCCGTAAGGACTCTGCAAAAGCCTTGGCAACCGACCGGTGTAAAGACAATTTGATTTGCCTGGCAGGCTGCACCTCCTGCCTGCCTCCTGCCTGCCCACTGTTTCAGTTTGGCACAGCACAGCCAATCAGTGATGTCCACATCCTTATACGTCATCATTCCACGCCCAGGTATGGCCTAAACCACCCCACAGAATTCTGGGTCATGGTTGTCCTCAGAGTTGCCTGATCGGAAAATTTTGAATGGGAGGTCACATCCCGAAGACAGCTGACGCTTCTGGCCACCAGGAATGGAGCCAAGGACCCACAGCCAATCTTTTTTCCTAGAATATGGTTTCTGGGTTTTGAGGAGTATTTCCTCTTGGCAAGCCTGAGCTGGCAGTTCTGGAGGTGGCTGCTAGGCCCTACCGAGGGGCGGTCGCATGCAGCTCCTATGAGGCCCCTGCCGCCGGCCGGCGATGTCCGCCTGGAGCTGCCCCCGCTGCCGCCGCCGCTCCCGCTGCAGGCAGTGAGCGGGTCTCCGGTCGGCTCGTCTGGGCGTCTCATGGCCTCTAGCAAATCCCTGGTGCCCGACCGGCTGCGCCTGCCGATCTGTTTCCTGGGTGTCTTTGTCTGTTATTTCTACTATGGGATCCTGCAGGAAAAAATGTGAGTGGACTCCCGGGTGGGCACGCAGTCGTTACCCCGTCCAGCGCCCTCTGCCAGGCTCCGTTTTGCGGACTCTCATCTCTGGCCCCAGTCCTCTCGCCGGGGTCTCGGACTCCCCCAGTATCCCGCTACCTAATTTACATCCTGGGCTGAGTCTCCCCGTAATTAAAAAAAAAAAAAAAAAAAAAAAAACCCGCCAGTGTTGCCCTTGTGGTCTCGGGACCTGGTTATTTTTGTTCCTTTACCTATTTTTACCCTTGTTGGTTCCAAGATTCTGGGACTGCTAACCCAAACAGGTTTCCGTGACCTGAGCCGGCTCCACTCTGGAACTTCCAGATATTCGCAAAGTCTTTCACCCGTGGGCTTTCTGCTTAGCTCAGATACCTTCCCCAGCTGGGGTCCTTTGGCCAGCGTCCCGAGGTTCCCCTCGCTCGATCCTTCATATTTCCCCGCCCCCCTCTAGACACTGGTATTAGGCTAGGATGTCAGTTCCTAGATCCAATGAAATCAGCCCGTTTTGTAAATGAGCCCAATTGCCCTTACCAATTCTTCGTACACCTGGAAGGGCAAGGTAATTCCAAAGTTTTCAGTAGCTTTGAGCTCCTATTGACAGTGAGTGAGATGTGCTATCTTCTTCTGCTTCCTCTCTTTCATTTTAGAACAAGAGGAAAATATGGGGAGGGAGCCAAACAGGAGACGTTCACTTTTGCCTTAACTTTGGTCTTCATCCAGTGTGTGATCAATGCGGTGTTTGCCAAGATCTGTGAGTACCTAGACAGTAATCTGCTGCAGGCGGCCTCCTCTCCCCCCAATATTCTGGGCTTTAGGCGTTGGATTAGCTTGAATCAATCAATGAGATCTTAAGTTTCTCCGCCTCCACCCCCTTTTTTGATTGAAGTCTAAAGCTAATGATTTTGAAGTGAGATTAAAATGTTATTTTCTTAAATTTGACCAATTTTTGAGCCAGAAGCGTACCGAGAACGGTCTTCTGTGGTCCGTGTTCCCATTGAGGACACTTAAAACATTTTTCTCTTTGTCCCTTTGACTTTGTGCATCAGCTTCAAACATGTTTTGAGCTTTCTTTGTTCCCTGGAGACGAGCAGCGGGGATCAGTCATCCCTCGTTCCTGGATGAGACCGCCACCTCGCTGCCTGTGATCTCGGGGTGGGCTTAGGTGGAATAGGAGACTTGAATAATTTGCCAAGATTTGTCAGCCTAAGAAGACAGAATCAGCTTATGTCTGAATTGACAGACAAGTTTCTTTCGTGCAGTTTCAACTTTTGCTTAGTAGTCTGTCATAGCCCCACTAGGATTCTCTCGTATGTTTTTCTGTCTTCTCCTAGTGATCCAGTTTTTTGACACTGCCAGGGTGGACCGTACTCGGAGCTGGCTCTATGCTGCCTGTTCTGTCTCCTATCTGGGTGCCATGGTCTCCAGCAATTCAGCACTACAGTTTGTCAACTACCCCACTCAGGTGAAACCTCAGGGGGAGACAAGGGTTGGTTCAGAAACTGTTTGAAAAGGACCAAGGGGCTTTCCCTCAGGTCTGTGACTTAACTAAATAAAAAGGAACGAGGCTGGGAGAGTATGTATGAGAAGCTGGGGGGCTGGGAGATAGCTCAGTAGAATAAGCGCTTGCCTGGCAAACGCAAGGGCCTGAGTTCAATCCCCAGTTCCTCCAAAAAAAAAAAAGAAGCCGTGCTTTCGTGGTGGGACAGGCAGTAGTCGGGCCACTGCTGAGGTGGAGGTCCCTGGCATGAGCCCTGACTCGAGTACCTTAATGTGACACCTAGCACAGCTCCTGGATCATCACAAATGCTCAGAAATTATTTGCTGGCTTTCATTCCAGGTCCTTGGTAAATCCTGCAAGCCCATCCCAGGTAAGCAGAGGAAGCTGGCCTCCAGCTCCTGTCTTCACCTTTCTCTCTGCTGGAACTCTCAGTCCCTCTGGGTTTCACCAGCCCGTCATAACTCTCCCCAAGAACTTTGCTCTAGCCCTTCCCCCTGCCCATTCCGTCATCTGTCATTGTGCCACTCCCTGTGCTGTGCACAGGGTGACAGTTTTCAGCAGGAGCAAGAGACTCAGTCTCATATGTTGCACAGTCATCACCTGCTCTAAGCCCTATTTTGGTGATCAGTTTTTTTCTCTACCTCCTTTCACGCCCTTGCTTTGTTCCTTCTCGGACCTTTGACCTTTGTTCTCTACATTTCTCTGTCTTATGCTCCACTTAGTCCCATTGCTGTCCTTGCACGGTGCCAGCCTGCCACTCCTCTTCTCACCTTCTGTAGCCCTTCTTCTCAAATTTCTTTTCTGAGGCTTTTCTGGGCTCCCGGGAGGAAGGTACTGGGGTCATCAGTGCCTATGAGTACCTGGATATGCCACGCTTTTCTCTGCCCTCTGTAGTCATGCTCCTTGGGGTGACCCTCCTGAAGAAGAAGTATCCCCTGGCCAAGTACCTCTGTGTGCTGCTAATTGTGGTGGGCGTGGCCCTTTTCATGTACAAACCTAAGAAAGTAGTTGGGATGGAAGAACACATGGTCGGCTATGGAGAGCTGCTCCTGGTATGTGATCCTGCTGGGGAACACAGCATTTTCTGGCAAATTTAACAAAGGACAGCCCCACCTAGGCAGGCAGAAGGCCTGTTCCATGTCTCAAGGGAGATTGTGTGCTCCTTGTCCCCGTTTCTGGTCTCTGCTAAGGTCAGGGTGGAATGCCTGAAATATTTAGCTACAGCTCAGCTCTCCTTCTGAGGAAGAGCTCACTCTGAGCTGTGTGCAGTTCCCGTGGTGACATCACTGAGAACTGACAGGGAAGGAGTACAGTGGCACTCCCTGTGGCCTTCTAGAGGCGTAGGAGCAATGCAGGATACCACAATCGAGCCATCTTACACATTAGGCACTGTTCCAAGTGTTCTGCATGGAATCTGGTTATTTTTTACAACAATCTCTTTTTTTTTTTTTTTTTTTTTTTTTTTTTTTTGGCGGAACCGGGGATTGAACTCAGACCCTTGCACTTGCCAGGGAAGCGCTTATTCCACTGAGCCATCTCCCTGGCCCCAACAATCTCTTTTAACACAGCAGTATTATCTCCATTGTACAGATGAAGAAACTGAGGCCAGAGAGGTGAAGTCACCTGCCATCGCTGCGTCCTATTTAAGTGAGAAAGTTAGGCTTCCGGTCCCGGCAGCCTGCCCGCAGACGCTAGCGTGTGCGCCGCACTCTGCTCCCAGCGAGCAGTGACCCTGGCAGCTTTGCCAGTAGGAAGTGGATGGCTTGCTGCAGCTGATTTTAGACCCTGCCACCAGCTTGAAAGTGTCCAGCTCTGCCATCCTCATGGTGTCACTGCCTTCAGTGAGCAATGAGCCTGTCAGTCTGGTGCTGGGGAGGGACAGCTAGCATCGTCTCACCCCACACTCCATTTGGGACCAGGTAGCAACCGTGTGAGGGCTCTGTCATCAGGCAGTGGTATTTTGAGGAGTCTGAGGCTGAGAATCTTGTGTCCTGCTTTGGGGAGGGTCCCTGGCGGCCACGTCATCGCAGGCTGCTCCCTTTCCTTCCCAGCTGTTGTCTCTGACCCTGGACGGACTGACTGGCGTTTCCCAGGACCACATGCGGGCGCATTACCAAACAGGCTCCAACCACATGATGTTGAACATCAACCTTTGGTCCACGTTGCTGCTGGGAGCTGGTAAGCAGCAGTGGTGCCGTTCTTCCTGCGGAGCACCAGGGGGCAGACTGCCCTTGTGCGTGTGGTCCCGTCTCAGCTGCCTGCATGGGCTGACTTCACACGCCAAGGTGCTCACCTGGTTCCACACCCTCTGTCCCAGGCCTGGGAAACCTTCCTGGGCAGACCCGCATGTGCAGGGTCTGCCTGCTGTCTGTCACGCACACAAAGGGGGCACTTGTGCCCACTGTCTGGGAGATGTTCGTAGTAGAAGCCGTGGGTGTCCAGGGCTTCCCTCCCAGGATGCAAATGAGGCATTGCTGTAGTGCTCAAGGAGAGACTTAGGTGTACGCTGAATACAGCCCACGCGTGAAGGCATTTGCTCTGGTTATGGTCAGTGTCTCCTAACTTTCAGCTCTGGACACACATAGGAATTTTTTTGTGCGGCACACTGGGATTGAAGGAGGGAGGGTGCTGCTGGTGGCCCCCCAGGAGCTTCCTTGAGCAGAGGTGTGTAGCTCTCTCCACAACATCAGAGGGTCTCTGTGTTCAGTCACTTTGGTAGAAGTAACTCATGAACTTTGAAGCCTTTCTTGCAAAATCAAGTCTTTAGCCTCACCAGAAAAAAAATAAAGAACCAGGCATGGTGGTGCAGGTCTGTAATCGAGGCTGAGCCAGGAGGATTGCGAGTTCATCCCAGCCTGAACTTGTGACTTAGTGAGACCCTGGTTCAAAAGCTAAAAGTCTGGGGACATGGCTCAGTGTGAAGACTCTGGGTTCAGTTCCCAGTACTCCCCTGAAAACATACATGTGTATGCACATGGACACACACTCACGCATTTGCGAAAGGTGCATGACGGGACCATAGGCACTCCCACGTACACCTCCATCCCAGCCTCCTTTGCAGTGCTGTAGCGGGCTGTGGGCAGGAGCGTGTGTTGCCGCACCCCCAGCCCCCAGCAAAAGGTGCACTGTTCCCCTTTGACATCTTCTAGGAATCGTGTTCACTGGGGAGCTCTGGGAGTTCTTGAGCTTCGCCGAAAGGTACCCAGCCGTCATCTACAACATCCTGCTCTTTGGCCTAACCAGTGCCCTGGGCCAGGTGAGTTCTTGAGGGGACCGTGTGGCCTTCCTGCTATGGCAGGACCAGCCAGGAGGTCTGGTGCCGTGGGCCTCGCGTCAGCCTGACCACCCACCTGCCTCACTTTCAGAGCTTCATCTTCATGACAGTTGTGTATTTTGGCCCCCTGACCTGCTCCATCATCACCACGACCCGCAAGTTCTTCACGATCTTGGCTTCTGTGATCCTCTTTGCCAACCCCATCAGCCGCATGCAGTGGGTGGGCACCGTGCTTGTGTTCCTGGGTAAGTAGCTCCGAGAGCTGCTATCTTCGGGCCCCCTGGAGCACCAGTGACAGCTTGATAGTTTTTGTTTCCCTAAAGTATATTTGGGTATCTATAGTGCATATATAGTTACTTTAGAGAAAACTTAAAAGAGCAAAGGAAGCAGCTGGCATGGTGCCCACGCCTGTGACCCAGCGCTCATGCTGGGCAGGAGGATCAGCTGGGTCACGTAGGGAGGTCAGGGCCAGTCCAAGCCACACCGTATACCATCCACTTGCGTGGCTTCCTTCCCGACCCAGAGTAGAGCAGGACTGCCGTGCTTGCTCTTTACTCAAGGTGCTCTGGGTGAGCAGAGAAGAACGGCTTCGGAGGCCTTTCTGTGTACGCGGTACTGAGGATCCAGCCCCATGGTGTCCTGCCGCTGAGCTCCACGCTAGCCCTTTTCATTTTTTATTTAGAGACAGTCTTGCTAAGTTGCCCAACGTGGCCTGGAACTTGGGTTCCTCCTGCCTCGGCCTCCCAAGTACCTGGGGTTCCAGATGTGTACTACTTGTACCTGGCAGTTCAGACATTTTGACTTCTTGAGTTTCTTTTGGTCTTAACTGTATATTTTATCTATAAATGTCAGTATCTTGATGAATTTTTTTCATTTGATGCCATTCTGTTGTCTCTGAGGAAAAAAAAAAATTTTTTTTTTTTTTGAGGTAGGGTCTTGCTCTGTAGTCCAGGCTGGCTTTGTACTCCCTGCGTAGCCCAGGCTGGCCTTGAGCTTGTGGTGACCCTCCTGCCTCAGCTGCCCCAGTGCAGGGATTGCAGGTGCACCACCACATCCCGCGCTGAGATAATTACAGAAAGGCACTGTGAAGCTCCAGTTTGAAGAACTGACGCTGACTCCGCCACTGGTGGGTTTCACATCCTCCGGGAAAGCTAAGCTCATCTCCCCTCCTGTAGGTCTCGGGCTCGATGCCAAGTTCGGGAAGGGAGCGAAGAAGACCTCTCACTAAGAAGAGAAACTACCTCCACTCTAGAATGCTTGGGTTAACGTCCCCGGAAGCACCAGCTCCTGGGAAAGTGGACCCAGTAGTGATACAGGACTGGGTTCCAGTCTTCTTCTTTTTTTTAAATCAAAGGAAGCAAAATCACATATTCTAAATAAATTTTAAAAAAGGGAAAAAGAAAAAAACAAAATAATGCTTGACTTGTAATGACATGCACGGGCAGTCTCTGTTCTCAGAACACAAGAGCATCATCTAGTACAGGTGGAGGGGAAGCTGAGCCTGATCTCTGGCCCCACCGCTCTCCTGTGTGCCAAACAGGAGCAGGTGGGTGAGTCCCCAAGAGCCTGCATGTGCCGGCGAGGCACTGTGAGCCCTTGAGTGGTGGCGGCAGTGGCTCGGTTCAGGGGCGAGGCTTGGCGTGTGCTGAGGCAGGTGCCGGCTGTCAGAGCCGGAGTATGTAGGGATCGCCTCTTAGAGCCACTGGAGGCAAGCGCAGGAGCTGTAGTCTCTCCTTAAGAGCTGCCTCAAGACTGGAATGCAGTGAGGCCAGCGTGTCACAGTCTGCTAGGTTTTCTCTTGTCCCTGCTGCCGGCTCCCCCTGGAGATCTGGGCATGAAGGGTGAACAGCTTTGGCGGGCCGGCGAGTGCACTTTTCCCGATCCCTCCCTCCATCTCCGTCTGTTCTCAGACCACCTGGTCCCCTCCAGGGAGGCTGGATCCATCCCTCCTCCTCCCCTGCCCGCTTCAGCTACTGAAGCATCGCGGTCCTTGGCCATCCTGGCTGTCCCGGAGTGTCCCTGTGCCAGCGCCTGCCTGTTGAAAGGGATGCTGGCAGAAGGCACGGTGGCTGGGGCCTGGCACAGAGCTGCTGTCGGGTTTTCTGGGTGGTGATGGGGGAGAAGGCGGAGTGCAGAGCAGAGCTGCCTGCCCCCTGCTGCCTTCCAAGTTGGAAACTGCAATCCTCCGAGGACCAAACTTTACACATGAAAGTGCATTTCCACCAGCTGCGACTTTCCCTCCATCTGTTCGACAGCCCAGCCCCTTGGCTGTGCAGATGGGAGCCCGGCCTCCTTCCTGAGCGCTGCTGAGCCAGGCCACCCCCCAGAAGCCTTCAAGCCCTGCCCTGCTTGTGCTGGCCGAGCTCGCTCCCTAGGCCCGAGTGTCTACAGCCCTGCCCTGAAGGCCCCCTCTCTGGGCTGACCTGCCTTCCTTACGGGGTTTGCATCTTGAAGTTCTCGTTGGTGAGCTGCTCCCTTGCTGGACTGATAGCTGTGCTGCCCTCTGGATTGCTGGGGTGGTCGGCGGCGCAGATAGCAGGGCCGGGGCTCCCAGCAGGTGTCTTCTGGGCCTGCTGCTTTGTGGCTGGCTTTTTGTTTGAGACAGGGTCTCTGCAATTCAGGCCAGCCTTGGATTCACTACGTAGCCCAGGCTGGCCTCAACTCATGGCGATCCGAAGTGCTGGGTTACAGGCGTGTTCCACCACTTGGCTGGGCCTGCTCGTTTGCATCTTCCTGGCTGTCAGACTTTTCTCCTCTAGCTCGTCCCCCTGCCGTTCCCACCTGGTTTCAGGACTGCCTACCTCTAAGCCAGGTGTGGGGGTGTGCTCCAGGAATCCCGACACTCGAGGCTGAGGCAAGAGGATCCGTGAATTCTAGGCCAGCCTCAAACTACGTACAAGTCAAAATGCGTAATTCTCACCAAGAGCAAGATGGGCTGGGAGCAGGGACTCAGCAGCTCAGCATGGCGTACAGCAGGCCCAGAGCCCAGCACCGAGCAGAGGGCTGGGGGGCCCAGTCCTGTGTGGACAATGTGAGGCCAGAAGGGGAGAGCGTTGCCACGTGAAGGAGGGCGGGGGCGCTTCAGCCCTGCTGCCAAGTAGAAGAGGGCTTGCAGTCCTGCTGTTTGCATTCTCCTGCACTGTCCCTGGCCTCTGGTCAGTTCCATAGAGAACACAGCGGGACAGTGGTGCTCAAGTGAGGTGTCATTTCACTGAACTTCAGAACGTCACAAGAGGCCTGCTCCAGTTACCTGCAGCAGCAGAGGGGCCTGGATTCAACTAAAAGCTGCTAACAGGGCCGATACGCAAAATGCTGGGCAAGTCCAGGCTCAAGCGCCGTGCATCACTAACCCCGGGAGCTGACGCCTCAGGTTCCTGCAGATCAAAGTGCTCTGCTCTGCAGTTAATTCTCAGCTATGTGCAGAAGGGCAGGAGGCGGCGCGCACGTCTCCCCGGGCTGGGTTTTCAGTTCGGGGCACGTGGTATTTCCGTCTGTACTGGTCAGAGCGTCAGGTCTGTCTCCTTCACTACGCCTGCTCAGCCTCATGGGGACGTGACTTCCCGCTTCCTGTGCACCTCTTAGCCTACAGCATGGGGGCGGGGCACACTGGTTATCTGGGGTACAATCGTAGGGACAGCTGTCCTGGGATTACATACTACGTGCAAATCACTGGCTTTTGGGCTGGAGAGATGGCTCAGTGGTCTAAAGCACCTACTTAGAACAAGCTTGGAAAAGCATCAGGGACCGCGGTTCAATCCCCCAGCACCACATGCCAGCCAGCCCCGCCCCCTGGTGGGCTGAGCTGGCCGCATACACACCACTCTCTCTCTCTCTCTCTCTCTCTCTCTCAAATAAATAAAAAAAAAAAAATCACTGGCTTTTGTTGTTTGTGCAGACTCTCACTGTCCGAGCCCAGGTTGGGCTCAGATCCAGTGATCCTCTTGCCTCAGCCTCCTGAGCTGGCATCACAAGTGCGCGCCATCGTACTCAGCAGTAAATAAATACTAAATAAATACCACATCCTTGTAAAAAGGACTTAAAGTGGCAAGAACTAAACATTAACTAGAAAAAAAAATCCACATTAACTAGATAATTTATAAGTAGGTACTTGGGAAAAGGGTGTGTTTTCTTACTGCTCTGTAACCCCTTCATGAAGGGGACTGAACATCTGGACTTTTTAGAGGCAGAAACACCCGAGGGAGGGCTGGTGAGTGGCAGGCTGTCCCTGGGCGTGTCCCAAGCTTGAGTGACCTGGGCCTGTGCACTCCGAGGGAGGACAGCGCAGTGCCTCGGGAGACCCGTTGCCTCCGCCACCTGACTCCCCTCGCAAAGAACAGTGTGCACATGATCAGTGCGGCCGGTCATTTCCCCCAGATGCCGGGCCGGGAAATCGTCCCGCGTCTCTGCGGGGTCGTTCAGTCTCCTTCCCTTTGAAAACACAGCAGCTGTCTTCAGGAACACGGCACATGCAGATGTCTAGAGCTGCTGCGCCCCGTTGCTCTGCAGCAGGTGCCATTTGGTCCTCCGACACTCCTGGGGAGAACTCAGGCCGAAGCAGAATCTCCCTGCCTCTGAAACGGAGCCTGAGACCCACCGAAGGGCATCTCAAGGCCACAGGATGTGGTTGGCGGCGTCGTGGGGAGGCCGTTTCACTTCCCGCTGCCTGTGGTCGGGAGCTTTGACCCTCCTCCAGCTAAACCAGTGGGCCCAAGCTGTTTGGATTTTCTGTAAATTCCCAGTAGAATTTCCAAATAATTCAGGGGACTGGCACAGGTATGCTGGTTTTTACTTTTTTCAAATGTGAATAGGCAAAAAGCGGAAACTATTACAGTTTCAAACATGACATTTTAACTAAAAAAAAACAGCAAAAGCTACCCACCTTCCTCCAACAAACTTATAATTAAAAATAATACCACTGTTTATAATAAAGGCTCTACTGAAGCAAACTTTCCACATGCTGGGTGTGGTGGCACAGGCCTGTAATCCCAGCACTCAGGAGGCTGAGGCAGGAGGATTGCTGTGAGTTTGAGGCCAGCCTGAGCTATACACTGAGTTCAAGGTCCATCTTGAGTTATATGGCAAGACCCTGTCTCAAAGGAAAAAAAGGGGTGGGTGCGGCCAGATAGCTCAGTGGACTAAAAACGCCGCTTAGGCAGAGCACAGAGGCCGGGATTCGATACCCAGCATGCTGTGCCAGCCCTGCCCCCGGGGCACACTGAGATGGCCATTGAGACTGGGTATTGTGGCACGCGCCTGTAATCTCAGCGCTTGGAAGGCTGAAAACAGGAGAATCACTACAAGTCTGATCTGTGTAGTGAGACCCTGTAGACCTTGTATACCCTGTACTTAGTTCCTTTTTTTTTTTGGCGGAACCAGGCATTGAACTCAGGCCCTTGTGCTTGCCAAGGAAGCGCTTATTCCACTGAGCCATCTCCCCAGCCCTAAATACATTTTTAAAAAATCCACAGATGTTACTCTGTAATCTACATAGCAGCATACGTCATTGATTGCTGAATAAAACCTGCAGTTTGCAATTTGCTTTTTTTTTTTTTTGAGACAGGGTCTCGCTATGTAGTTGACTGATGGTCCTGAGCTCACTGTGGTGGCCGGGCTGGCAGCAGTCCTCTTGCTTCAGCGTCCCAAGTTTTGGGATTGTGAGCATATGCCACCATGCTTGGCAAACCTCAAACCTGAAAATTCTAAAAATCCAAAAATGGGGCTGGGGAGAAAGCTGTGTGGTCTAAGCACCTGTCTGGCAAGTACAAGGACCAAGGTTCAACCCTTAGTACCACATGACATGCCAGAGCCCTGGTTCCAGGCACGGTGGTGCACACCTGTAATCCCAGCTCTGAGAAGGATGAGACAGGAGGATCACTATGAGTCTGAACTGTGTATTGAGACCTTGTACCAAATACATTTAAAAAAAAAAAAAACCAAACTAAGCTTAAAAAAAAAAAAAAAAAAAAAGCCACTGGCCTTGGCCTCTGCATGCTCCCTTCCGTAGGGTAGGCCTTCAAGGGCTTCCCAGGAAGGAAGGCAGCCTGAGTATCCAGGTCCCTCCTGGAGCGAGCCACCCACCGTTGCAGCCACTGTCTGACATGCAGGGTTCTTGGCCTGGGAACCAGTGGGCCACGCCCACCCTTGGAGACCCATGGGAAGGAGAACCATCAGATGCCGGGTGAAAAGTGATTCATTCAGTGCCTTCCCTTCCACCATGGCGCGCCTGCACTTGGGGCTGGTGGATTTTCTGTCTGAGTGTGCCTGGTTCCCTCAGGGTTCTGGAGAAGAGAAGAAGGAAGGAGCTGAAGGCACTGGCCAAGGGCGAGGGTCAGGGTGCTTCTCCCTGCGGCTTCTGGTTCTGTTGTGCCTGGC